TCAACCCTGAGCCGGTGAGATTTGAACCGCTGAACTGCTGATCTAGCAGTAGCCTGCAGTGCTGCATTTAACCACTGCGCCACCTTGGCTTGAACATACCAAAGTGGTTTTTAGAGTTTATGACCCAGATCCTTGTTGGGCATAAGGATGAGTGTGAGGACTCAAAGAGGCCAGGTGAACCCAAGAAGAATAGAAACCACCATCAAGATGGCCATTGGATTGTTGGTTGCAGCCCAACCTCTTTCCAACTCTTATGGTTCTCCTGCACGAACAGCTGTGGGAAGTTCATTTTTGGAGATCTTTTCTCTCCAAATTCAAGGTCAGCTTCATCTTTGGTCCAGCACAAACTTGCTTTAAGGAGACTGTTCTGGATGCCTCATTAACCAGGTTTTCTGCTCTGCAGCTGACATAGAGATCAAGCTCTCAGAGAAGGAGTAAATAAGACCCCAATCAAGTAACTATCAAGAACTTTCCTACCAACACTGACAGGGCAAGTCACTTATATATAAACAGACCATAAACCCCACTCCTTTCTAGCACTGACGACGTTAACCAGTTGGATAATAAAATGTCTGGAAGAAAACAGCCAAGCTCCAGGAGCACCAAGGAGCACTCTGGAGAAGGCCTTGATTACAGAACCCCTGAGTGTGGGTTCCTTGTTCTGGAGATCTGAGATCTAGCTGAATCTCACCCCATCTTCCCAGGTCTCTGTAGAGTAATTCAGTTGCCAGGCTCCATGTCCAGGCCCATCAGGAGTGCAAAGGACTCTCAGATCATCTTTTGACCACATAAATCACAGGAAGGGCAAAGAAGGAGGAGAAGGAGCAACAGCAGAGCCACCCATTTCGGTTGCAAATAAGAATCCCACAACCCTCCCCCCATCACCTCAGATACTGATTGTAAAGGGAGAGGCCCACCACCTCATCCTCTGCCTCCCACCAATTCCTCCAGAATCAGCCCCTCAGGTAACTCCTTGACTCTTCCCCAATGAGCTTGTGGGTCCAGCTAATCCCCCCTGTTCCCTTCAGAGGATGCTCTGGGGATTCCAGCTTGAAAACCCAACTGCCTCACCTTCCCTGATACCCCACGTGGGAGCCCACATTTCCCTGGCCACGGGGATACTTACTAGAAACCCTCAGATCAAAGGACTCTTCCGTCACCGTCTTGTTTTGTGAAATGGTTTCTGCGGTGTATCTGCCAGCATCCCCTTTCTCTAGTGAGTGGAGAATTAATGCTCTGCAATCCTCGGATACGGTCACTCGTGTTTCATAGACTGGGAGAGGGACCAGGAGATCACAGGGCTTCCTAAAAGCCACCACTGCAATATTTTCAGACTTGTTGCCGACAATTTTACTCAAGGAAATTGAATCAAATGATAGATTAGTCTTCACTTTGAATATGGCAAATGATCCCTCATATCTATACAGTTCTTCTGCTCCATAAGCTCCTGCAAGGTCAAAGAGAAGAAGCCTTCAAGGTTGGTTCACAAGAAACCCTCTAAACATCCCATTTCTGACCCTCAAATTCCAGGAAAACCTTTTCTGAGAAAGGACAACATGGCTCCAGGATAGCAGATATAGTGGGGGTCTCTCTGGGTTCTGGCCTTTGCTTCACACAAAAGCAGTGGGAGGGGGGGTGTACAAATGTCCTCTGTGGGAACTGAGTCCTTCCCTTGGGGCTCAAAAGGCAGATCATAATCCAATTACAATCAAATGGAAAGGCCAAAGGACAAGATCTAGATGGACACTAAATAATATCATATTGAAAGAAAAAGACTTTATACAGAAAATGAAAAAAAGAACTGGCCTTTTTCTTTAAAGAAAATACAAAAGAAGATACATCAATGCAGAATCTTTGGGATACAATGAAGGCTATTACTAGAGGTCTGATAATAGACTACATAAGGAAGAGAAATTCAAAGAAAAGACAAACGCATAAAGCCCTAGACAACAACTACAAAATACTTGAAAAAGAGTTACAGAGATCTCCACAAAAAAAAAGATGTTAAAATAAAAATGGATATAATTAAACATAAAATGGATCTACTGGAAAAGGAAGAACTGGCACAAAAAATTAGAGGCACTAAACAGAATTACTTTGAAAATGCAAAGAAGCCAGGAGGATTGGTTGGCATATAAACTGAAAAAAGAGAGAGAAGCAAAGAAAATATTGCAGCTGAGAGATGAGCAAGGACAAATTCAGTATGGAAATGCTGAGAAGAAGAAAATTATACAGGAATACGATGATAAACTGTATGAA